GATGCTCACAGTTTCTGAGAATCCCAGGGACAATTGAATATCATTGAATTCCTTTTGTGAGATCTTGGTTTCAATGAAGCATCTAGGCCAAATCGTCCTAGAACTACACAAAGTAACTTTTTGGTATCTTTTCTTCCTAGACAACTCCTACCAAATCCACCCCTTAATCAGATCCTTCTATTATATAAACCTTGATAAAAAAATATTAATACAATCACACATAACACCATCACCACACCTCCCACATAAACAAATTAAAACATCATTTCATTGTAGTATATTCAGGCACTAACAAACAGTAATGGACACTGGCGCAGCTGCGATGATGCTTCATTGTGTTTTTGAAGGGAGCCTTTCAATGTCGGAAATCGACAAAGAGCGAAGACCATACCATAAAAACTGCAGCTGTGCATTGCATAGATCGAAAGATGAAATCCCGACAGCTTGTTTCCATCAACAGAGAATATCATACAGAAAGAAAAAATCATGGAACATTAATTGTTTTTGTCCAAAACTGTTACCATAAACCCCATTCAGTCTTCCAGTGCAAGTGATAAACCTTCATAAAATATGGTTTCCTCTGCAAGTGGAAGACTTAGCCTTCCCTTTCTTCCCAAACTCATCATTGCAACTAGCACAAAGAAATTGATGTGCACATGACAATTCACAAGAAAACCAGAGAAACTTCATCTTTTGAACAATGACAAGACACAAGGGAAAATTCATCTATCGAACAGAGTATCCTCTCAAATCAATCATGTCTTCTTCTTTTTTATCAAAATCATCCGGTTCATGAAATCTCTCCCAGTAGTATCATCTTGAACAATACCCGAGAAGACTCTCCTGTGCTGATCGGTTGGTTTAATCATCAAGTGCTGATCTGGGTCGGTGGAATTTTATGCATGAGGAATCTTGTTTCAAACGATTCATGCCCACATACTGATTTATGGGATCATGCTAGAGTCTCATATCATCAACCGATTGATGGTCCTGTACAACAAATTATCAATCCTTTAATGTGCACGCCAGCTGTTTGATGACATTTGTACACAAGATATTTTTTGTGGGAGCAACCTGTGTCTCTACATACTCTGTCTCTGGAGATTTAATGAAGTGCGCGAGGAAAGAGTATACTGGTTTAGTAGAAAAAATTTAGTTCGAACCTGGAGTATAAAGAAGAATGGGAAATGGCCAACTGTAGAAAAGCATGTAAAGAAAAATGGGTATGCTTTCTACCCATGAGAGAATGGATGATCAAGATATGTCACTTTTAAAATTCTGCCTTTTATTGAAAAAAATGATATAAGTACTTTTACATGTTTTTTAAAACTAATCTTAAAATGTCACTGTTTTCTGAAAAACAATTATAACCACTGTTGTGATCTTATAAAAAATACATGCTCCAAATGCACTCGATCTAAAACATAATAATAGTTAATTTTACTATAGAATTTAATTTCATCTGATTCTAATCCTATTAGAAAACTGCCACACTAGGGATGGCCAAAGTCATTGGTAATGTATACTACATATAAGGAATTGCAACTGACCAAAATTTTGCAACGTATGGGTAATTTTTACCGACGGATCTAACCAAATATAGCGACAGAAAAAACATGTCAATAATTACTACCCACTTTGTAGTACATGCACTTAATTAAACTAACTAGTCATCTAAACACAATTAACTACTTGAATAATGCAACCAAACACATATAAAAAAAAAGTTGCTGTCAGTAACGACCGTTTGCTAAACGATTTCCACCAAACAACCTAAATAATCGCATAAAATCCACTAGTTTTTTTTACCCCTAGTAGGTCAGGGATTGCTATATAGAAATACTCAAAAAAGAAAACATTCCTTCAAGGAGTCTACCCGTTTTTCAGTCTTCATTGTATCATTTTGTGTGGAAATACTAATAGTATGTACAATATTGATGGAGAACATAAGCATGTGCAAAAATAGTAATATCAGGTTAGACAGGATTTACATTCCAAAAGTGAAATAAACTTCATTTAAAGTCAGATATGATCGTATCCAAAATAAAATAATCAGGAACTTAGAGAAGTCAAGCAATACAAGCAACTATTGACATTTGTGTTATACACTAGAAATCAACTTGATAGATCAAAAATCGAAGCTTACGTTGACTTGAAGACCTGATACAAACAAAACAAAAAATCAAGATGAAAATAGGAAAACATATAAACAATAGGAATTCTTGGACAATAGCAAAAATAGAACAAAGAATCGTGTATAATAAAAAGATTCTTTTGAACATAACTTTTATTTTCCAAAGGATAATATAAAGAATCACATATAAACAAAATAGTTCAGTTGAATATAACTTTTATTCCAAAGACAAGGTTTGCATGTGTTAACTATATAAGTTATGCCAGTATAGATTCTATAAAAGTCAATTTAACTCGAACACCAAACGTTAGAGATCATGTCTTCTAGTGAGCTACCAAAGCAAAGACAAGGAAAAAACAAAACAAGATGCTCACTCTTTCTGAGAATCCAAAGGACCAAAGGTAATAGCATAAAATTCCTTCAAACAATTCGTTATTATTTGTAGGGACCTTTGTTGAGATGAAGCATCCTGAGAAAATGTTCCTTGAATTCTTCAACATAATTTTAAGGTATCATTGATAACTCCTACCAAATCCACGGGTAAGGAAACCCTTATAGTATTTAAATTCTATTTAAATTTCACACATGAACTAGCATATCATAGTCAGCACAACACCCACAAAAAGCATTCAAAACAACATTTGTTAGTTTAGTATTTTCAGGCACACACCTTCACAAATAAAGAGAGATGGCCACCGGAGCTTTTGTGGTAATACGTCATTTTGTTTTTGAAGACAGCCTATCAATGGCTGAAATCGATAAAGAATGGAGCCCATACCACAAAAACTATAGTTGCGCATTGCATGGGCTAGAAGATGAAACCTCGAGAGCATGTTTCCATCATGCAAAATTTTCATATGGACAGACACCCTTATGGAAAAATTGTTCACCGTCTAAAATTGCTTCTTCATCAATCCTTCTTTAATCTTCTAGTGGAGGTGACTAGTCAGATAGAAAGGCAAAATAGCCTTTAAGGCAAAAAATAAGAGACAAAAACTTGAAGGTGAATGTTTCGTGTTTTGGAGCGATGTAACCACTTCCTATGTTTTTCAAGATGGGAGAATTATATGGTACATCCATGTTAATTTTTTTAAGGAAAAGAAAAAATATGTAGCCATGGGCACGTGGCACATCACATGGAGTTGGGTATGTAAGCAATGAATGAATAACAAGCTATGGAGACGAAAAACTTCGTCGCTATAGGTGTAGTCACTAGCTACAACTTCGTCTCTGTAGACCCCTTTTGTCGTCGCTGTAGGTCCCCTTTAGCAAAGACGTGTCACTATAGGTATATCTATGGCGTTGGAATTTGTCATCTTGTCGCTATTGCCCCTGATTCTTGTTGTGGGCCAATTAAAGTTTTTTACTTGGAATATCATCGTCATACATGTGTCATTGCGTGGAAATGGTTTCATAACATGTAAACTTCAATCCTTACACATCTTGAATCCGTAGTCTAAAAGGTTCTTAATTCATGTTGTTTTTTTTTTTTTTTTTTTTTTTTTTTTTTTTTTTTTTTTTTTTTTTTGAGGAGATACAAATGGAAAAAGGCAGGAAACAAGTAGTTGTATTGGTTCCAAAAAGTGTCCATGATTATTTGATACTTTTTTCTTTAACACGCCAAACAATGAACTCATATATTCATGATTCCGATGATCTAAGGTTTACCAAATTGCACAAAAAATGGTTGTTCGTGAAAGTGCTTATACTTATTGAAGAATATATATATGTGATTGATATTTCACACTACATGTCCTCAGGTAAATGGTTAAGCCTGTGTTGATGTTGTTTTCTACAATTTCACGTCATTAACTTGATTCCTATTAGCCCAGGCAGACCTTTTAATAAGGAATTTAATCTTGCCATCAACTTTCATCAAAATATAACTTTTAGGGTCGTTGAGACGTGATTAATAAGTAATTTATGGTAGCCAAAAATAGATGACGCATGTGACTCATTCATGATTCTCCAAAAAGAAAAAACATTGACAATTAAAGTTTGACATTCCTTCCATAGATATCGAAAACGAGCAAGAAAAAACATTGACAATAAAAGTTCTTATGACCAAAATGCTTTTTATATAAAGGTTTTGATTACCAGTTTATGAAGTCATATCATACTTTGTGAAAACATAAAATAGCCAAATTTACTCTTAAAACTTTGTACAAACGCTCGTCTAGTTTATATGTAAAACTCATAAGTTTCAATTTTTATAAACTTTGTAAATCCGTGTCGTATTATTAATTAAGTATTATCTTACTTAATTTGGAAATTGACACTTAACCAGTGGGGCAAACTCATCCCAAAATACTTTTCAATAACCGGTTTCTTATGTCGTAGGGAGAGGTAGTTAACAGTCTAAACACTCTTACACACTCGGCCCAAATCGGGAGGATTGACTCAATCTAGACCTATACTTCTTCGAATAAAAATCTTCAATATAACAATTTGTCTATAACCGACACTGTACGTCGCTCCTCCACAAGCCACACCGGCGCAATATAAATAACAATGGATTAACGGTTATAGAGTGGGTTTCGATCTAAGATTTTGTCCTTATGAAAGAAATTACGCCCACACAAAACTCTCCCTTTTACCCCCTTTCAATACATTGGGTTTCGATCTAGGATTTTGTCCTTATGAAAGAAATTACGCCCACACAAAACTCTCCCTTTTAACCCCTTTAAATACATTGAGTTTCAATCTAGGATTTTGTCCTTATGAAAGAAATTACGCCCACACAAAACTCTCCCTTTTACCCCCTTTCAATACATTGGGTTTCGATCTAGGATTTTGTCCTTATGAAAGAAATTACGCCCACACAAAACTCTCCCTTTTACCTCCTCAGGGTTCTTTCTCATCGCTGATGGCAGGAAAACGAAAGGAATCAACAGCAGCGACTGGCGGCGGTGGAGCAGGTGTCAAAGTGGCTGTTCGGTGGTTGAACAGGAGGAACACCACCGGTGCTTGGCTGATCGAAGGAGGCAGAAAGCGGGGGTGGCAGCAGAGCCATTGCCGGCAGTTTGTGCAGCAAGGCTGCTCCGGCGGCTCTTGGCTGTCGTCAACAGCGATGGTGGCGGAGCAAAGTAGCAGTGGATGTTCTCCAGCGAACCCTCGTGGGTTCCTTTCTCATCACAGGTTAGTCCAATGACAACAACAATAATAGGGTGTGTTTGGGTTGATGTCTTCTTGATTGCAGGAAAATCTCCACTTCCGGTGGAGGTTTGGGTTGATTCAATTTACAGGAATTGCACAAGGAAGAAGATAGAAGAAAAAGGTTGCTGGACCTTTTGTTTTTGGACAACCACGAATTGAGAAAAGAAACAATAAGGAACAACAAAAGTAGGGGTGCAAACGAGCCAAGCTACTCGTGAGCTACTCTAGATCGAATCGTTAAAAGCTCGACTCGAGATCGAATTTAAACGAGCCCGAGCCGAGCTCGAGCTTAATATTAGGCTTGTTTATTAAATGAGCTCGAGCTCGAGCCTGTTACTTGGCTCGATTAGGCTCGCGAGCCTAAACGAGCCTACATATATATATAATATATTTTTATTTTTAAATATTAAAATAAATAATATTTTAATAAATACCATTTTAGGAAATTAGAGTATACTGTATACGAGTCGAGCCCAAACTGTGCCCGAGCCCGTACAATTCTTAACGAACCGATCTCGAGCTTTGTACCATAAGACTCGAAACGAGCCGAGCTCGAGCTCGAGCCTATAAATATTTAAACGAGCTGAGCCCGAGCCTGGTCAGGCTCGCACTCGGCTCGTTTGCAGCCCTAAACAAAAGCATGAGAAGTTTCTTTTGATTGTTGTTTTGGTTAAAGTGAAGTGTAGAAGAAACATCACTTGGTTGTCCATTCTCTTCACTATTGTACTTTTATATATATTTAGAAGCAATGTATTGTTCTAATCATTCTATGTATTGGTGTATATATTAACATGTATTTGTATATGTATAAACATGCATGTATTTTGTGTATGTATTGAGTGTTGTGGTAAAAGTGTAAGTGTAGGTACTATAGCCATATAGCTAGTAATTTAAAATCAATTATGCTCGATTCAAAGTGTCAAAATACAAGGTTATATTTGGAATATCTATAATAATGATATTTTCTAACTTTCTTGATTCGCTTTACTTTGATCCGGATATCAAATAATTTTTCTGAATGACGACTAATACTCTCGGTTATGAGGTTTCCAAAAAGTCAGACGAATCTTAAATCTGATAAGTATAACTCTGGTAAAATTCGTTTAAAGTTTCGCGACTTATAGGGTCGGATTCGACAGATTTTCCGAATCTGATTTCGGTTGAGTTTAAAAATACATTATAAAAATATAATAAATTAATAGACCGTAGTCTGAATTCAAAATTGTGCTAAAAAAACAATTTACGAGACTCGTAGTTATTCTAAACGAAACAATGCATGGTTCGTAACTTTCTCATACGACCTCCGTTTTGGTTGTTCTTTATATTCACGAAATCAGAAAAACATAACCTATTCAAATATCTTATCCATGTCTCTCAAATAGATCTGATGCAAAAATTTATTTTTAACGCCACAAATAAATTAAATTTTTAGCGATTTTCAATTCGATTCTCAACGACAAATGTTTTGAGCATTTTGAGATGTTCTCAAAGTAATTATAGATATAATATTTTTAATAGATTTTATAAACATAAAATTACACGAAATTGGTCTTTATTGCATAACGGTTCGCGGTGGTTTGACCGCCGAACTCTAATCAATTTTTACCATTTGTTACATTATCCCCCCTTTGAAAGGAATTTCGTCCCGAAATTCAACGTGTAGATAACATTATAAAAATAAAATCGGAGGAATTTTCTTTTTGCTTGATCCACACATGATCATTCTATAGTCGTTTTTATGTCGCTTAACTCAAGATTGGGTACTCGGTCGAACAAATGGCTCTATTCTAATCCCTCAAAAAAAGAAATGAATAGAGAATACGATTGAGTTATGTATTTTAAGGTTATCGAATCTTATATAGATATTTTATCGGGTGTACTTTCCCAATTTTGAAATATGCGCACGGTTTTCCTAGCTCACTTCAGTGAAATAAAGATAACAAGTGTGTTATCGGATCGACACTCCCTGACATTTGGCATATGAAAGACGTCGTATACACCGTTTAGTTATCAAGATAACTTAATACAAATATCAGGACCAAATTCTGTTAAGAATTTCTAAGGTCCTTTGAGTTGCAAGTTTAACCAGCCTCGTTCTCTAAGACGAATCATTTCTCTAAAAGAATAGATGTTTAAAAGCTACACATTCTCCGACTTGGAAGTCGAGAGACTTATATTTTTCATTCACATAACTCTCTTTTCATTCATGACCAGTCTAAAATCTTTAGTCGGTTCACACAATCTTTTCTGTGATCTCACGAGTGATTCTTGGATTCACCTACAACACATCACTTGCATGCTCTTTGTTCAATTTCGCATCTTCAATCATTGCTCAACTTATCGGCGATCAACACTTTCATCGTACAAAGCCTCAAGTGGTGAGGTCTTTATGCTAGTGCGACAACTATCATTGTAGGGAATTCAATTAACAAAATGAGTATTCCATGCAATATACAAGCCTATCATACAGGTTCAGAGCATATTACTCAAGTCTAGATGGTTCATTCGGTCTGACCGTCCTCAAGGATTTCAATGGTTGTCAAAACTAATAGGTGAATCTACTATCTTAGTAGGGGATGATTGAGATCGGCACCTCGTGCAGTCTGATGATTGGGCAAGTTCTGGTTAGCTTTTCCATTTAACATGGTTTTTAGATCAGCAGGAAGTAGGCGTACTTATTCAATCATTGGACCACTACCCGAATAGAATTAGAACCCATTAGGTTTCTTGGGTAGTTTTGATATAAAGTCCATTAACGTTGGTTCCCATTTGTACTTGGGTATTTCTCTACCATTACTCTAGTCCCGAGTGTTTCTGACATTCTGCATTTGGTACAAGTCTGACATTTGTCCACTCAAGTGGCAATCTTCTCTTTCATGCACGTTCATCAATTCAATTCTTTCAAATCTAAAAACATTTAGTCAGAGCCTGGATGGATGGATATGACACTTTTATCTGTGAGCGTTTTCTAAGACTATGCTCCCGTGTTCACTGCACTTAAGCGTACAAATTTGGCTCATAAAGTATCACGTCCCGTCATCCACCTGATTATCCAATCTTCACAAAGCTTCACTCGCGAAGCCTTTCCTCTCTCAGAGACTCGAGTTAAACTTCTCGAATTTGAGCTGTAGGTTGTGAATGGATATTCATAGTTAACATTTTTACTCAACAGGGTTTGGTACATTCTTTTCGGCTCAATACATTTTCTACTATGTCAATCTCATTACAATGTTAACGAATCTCACACGTCCCGATGACAACAAATTTCTCATTTATGTCATTCAACCAGAAGTATAGGCAAAACCTTATCTCAATTAATCTATGTGTACCTCAATCCTTTATGTACGTGTCGTCGTAGATGAACAAGTTCTTTGTTCTTTCAGAAAAGTAGGATTGGTGCATTTACACTATAGTTGTTCCAACTTTTTGGAGTATAATTTCTCACTTATTTTTCCAGTTGGACTTTGCTACCTTTTGGTGTTGACATAATTGACGGTTGGGCTACCACTGGTAGTACCCAACATAAATTCTTTTGTTGTTAAATTTCCAGCGTTCATTTCTTGGGAAGAAGTCTTCACTTACACTTCCACATTTGACCAAATCCTTCACATTTGATTAGGTCCTTCACATTTGATCTTTAGGGTGAGAAAGCAACTTTAGGTTCTTCTCCGACTTGTCATCATAAGTCACCATGTCTTTCTCGTGGGGTAGGCTTCATCATACCGTTTTCTTGTAGTGCAGATTTAGACACAATGGGGAGGTACAAGCTTCCGCTCGGAATTGATATAAAGTCTATAAGTAAAGATCGATTGTTCATGGTTACAGCTAAGGGGGGGTCATATAACGACTTGATGTGACACAAACAAAACCGTGTCATATAGACAACGATACTGGACTCTTGGTGACATACACACAAGATTGACGTGACAAAAATGATTTGATAGGTGTTAGAATGAAATTTATTAAAATTTTGCGAGTAGGTTTCCGACAGCGAACTAGTTGTCTCTACTCTACATATTTCCTACAATCTATTAGATTCATGACTTAGAATAGATTTAACTTTAAGGTTCACGAATATTTCTCCACGCACCTAAAACACAAATACTCCAGCATACGAGTCGTTAGTGAGTAACGTACCAATTACTACTGATAGTTCTTGGATTTCATTCCTAGTTTTGATTGAGATTTCCCCGATTCGAGTTGTTACTTCCTGGTTCTTTAGCCTTGGGCAGTTCTTCTTAACTTGCCCATTTTCACCATTTTCGTAACAAGCTTTTCTTCCACCAATGCTTGTTCTAATATCTGCATTTCATCTCTTAGTATCACACTCCTATGAGCATCATCTATAGTCCTACTCAAGTCGTGGCATAAGCAGAGTCGATGCCCACAATTTACACATAATAGTTCTACTCGGTAAAATTTGTGTCCTTAAAAGTGTAGGTGACAACTTAACACGATAACCTTCCGTACGGGAGCTGACATGAAATACCAATTCCATCTTTTCACCCAGAGAGTCATTCCTACAATCCATTCAATGTCGTAGAAGGATCTAGGTTGACGTTACTACTACTTCCACATTTGTTGCTTCCGAAATCTACCTTGTTCAGAGTCATTGTTCCTATTGGCTTGTAAGTTACCAAAGTGTTAGCTACTAGTTGTTCGATCATTAATTCAATCGTAGTTGCGTCGAGCGATTTTGTTAATGTCGAACGATCACTCGTTAATCTCTTGTGAGACATCGCTTTGTCCCTTTATAATTTGTTCAAGGAGAAATAAGTCGCGTGGAAATATTTTTGCGAATATAAGCGATAAAATTACAATTATGCCAAACGTGTAGAATTGACGTGGGTTTGCCCAAGATTAAATCTACTCACTACTAGAAAAACAGTCTTTTACGACGCGCAATGCGTGTCGTAAAACGCTCAGACGACGCGCAAATGCGTGTCAAGGAAGGCCCTGTCATAACGAGAGACGACACGCTTTTGCGCGTCGTCTGTTTACGACGCGCATTTATGACACGAATTTACGACGCACAGTTACGACACGCAATGCGTATGAAGGAAGGCCCTGTCATAAAGGAAGACGACACGCATTTGCGTGTCGTAATCTTAGGACGCACGTTTAGGACACGCATTGCGTATCATTAAAGCCCCTGTCATAAATGAAGATGACACGCATTTGTGTGTCATAAACTTCAACAACCATTTACGATATACATATACGACGTGCCTTTAATATACTCATTTACGTGTAATACAAAAATATATAAACAGATATATATCAAAATAATCAATTTCATCCAATAACAACATGTCAAAAAATTGTAATACATCGGTATTAAGGGATCTAATTGTACATTGTTATTAAGAGATTTTCCCTAACTATATAACCTAATACAACATTTCTATTAAGGGCACCTTCTTGTTTCAGATATCGTGTCAAAAAAAATCTTCCATATCATTGGTTTGCCACCGATTCCTTTCGTGAATAAACAGATGGAGTGACTCCGCTTTTTTTCAGTAGCACATACCGGTTCCTTTCGTGAATCTACTTGGGTTGATCAAGCCGATTACTAATTCTGATTTATTTATAGTTTATACTTACTGAAACATGTCCATGGCCACTCATTGAGAAGCCTTCCCCTCACTAAGCTTCCGAATTACCTGCAAATCCAGTTGAAATAAATTTCCCAAACAAAAATAAATAAATAAATAAATTGGTCAATTACAAAAGCATAAATAAAAATACTTACAGTTCCAAGGGTTAGAAGACTTTTGTTAATGTAAGATCTTTCCTTTCTCCTCAATCTAGTTGATTCATTTTTTGAGATTTTTGTCTATTCCTTTTCCGATTCCACCACACCAAACACTACTTAAGTTTTTATAAAATGGAAAAAAAAGTGAAGAGTCATACTCCAGAAATGGTATGTGTTGATGGTGTTCCAAGAAGATCGGTTATTAATTCCAACCGATGAACAACAAGGTCAGCAATAACAGATGTTGAATGTGGGAACACTGTAGCTTTTGCCACCGGCAAGGTACATACATACATACATACACTTACTTTTTATTTTAAGAGAATATAATAATAATGATAAAGAGATGTATCCTTATAGCCCAAAGAACCTAGTGCAACTTCAGCGTGGGTTTTTTCTCAGATTTGTTTTCACTTTCCTTGTCATCTTGTGGCTCTTGATCCTTAAAAAGGCTCATGCACTCCTCTTTCCTATACATAGCAATAAATGGTACCTGATAACAAAGATGTTACAAGTTACACGGATCCCAAGAAGATTTGGTCCTTTTAAAATAGGGATCAGATTGAACACTTACATCTAATTTCTGGACATGCATGCATAAATTCTAAAAACCGCATAATGTCATCCTTAACTATTGCCAGGTCATGCCCTTTTTCGGTTGTTCTATCGCGTCCTCTGCCAAACAATACCACACCCTTTTGAAGTCGATGAAGAATCCAAGTACTCTCCTCTTCTATACTCATTTTATCTGTTGATGGAGGATCAGTGCTTTCCTCAGATATCTACAAAGACAAAAGTTGAACAACAATTAATACATAATAGATGGTGAAATATATAGTATGTAAATGTGAGTATTTTGACCTCGATTCTTTCTGGAATATCTATCTCCCGAATGTACTCACCTTTTTCAGTTTTGTATTTATTGGAAAGAATGGTGCGTTGCCTCAACAACTCATCCACATCACCAAATATATCATGAGCTTCCTGTATTGCTCAAGGAACTCACAAGCACTTGATAACATTGTCATATGATTATATCAAAGAGAAATTACAAGGGTTCTCAGAGAAAAGCATAAAGACTACAAGGAATAAAGCGGATATAAATACTAGCTAGACAGAAACCCTAATGGGCTAAAGACAAAAAGGGCCCATAAACAAGCGGGCTAATAATATAGACTAACATCCCCCCTCAAACTCACAATGCCGCAGCAATAAGCATTGAGAGTTTGTCACATAAGAACCGAAACCGAGAAGCCGATAAAGCCTTCGTAAAAATATCCGCAAGCTGCAAAGTTGATGAAACAAATGGAAGTGAAATGGTCCCAAGCTGCAGATGATGACGAGTAAAATGACAATCAATCTCAATGTGCTTCGTCCGCTCATGAAAAATAGAATTCTTCGCAATTTGTATCGCACTTTTATTATCACAATTCAAGGGAGTAGGTGAAGAAATGTAAACTCCCATATCCGCAAGCAGCCACCGTAACCAGATAATCTCGCATGTAGTTACAGCCATAGCACGATATTCAGCCTCCGTGGAAGATCTAGAGACATCCTGTTTCTTGCTCTTCCATGAAATAAGAGACTCTCCAAGAAATACACAAAATCCAGTGGTAGACTTACGATCATGACGATCACCATCCCAATCAACATCACTATAGGCAGGTAACTCAAGATAAGACGTCGAGGGAAACAAGAGAGTCTGAAACTGAGTGCCACGAATATATCTTAGAATACGAAGAACAACTCCCCAATGAACAGAGGTAGGTGCAGTAACAAACTGACTGACAATATGAATAGCATGAGCAATATCTGGACAAGTGACTGTGAGATAAACCAAACTTCCCACCACAGTACGATAAAGATTCGGATCAGACAAAGGAACACCATCAGTAGGAGAGTATCGAGCATTGGTTTCAAGAGGGGTATCAACAGTCCGATTGTCAGAAAGTCCCGCCCGTGTAAACAAGTCAGATATATATTTAGTCTGGGAAAGAAGGTACCCTTTCTTAGACTGAGCGATCTCAATACCCAAGAAATAACGCAGCAAGCCCAAATCCTTCATAGCAAATCGACGAGCTAGATCATGCTTCAAAGACTCAATACCACCATGGTCATCACCTGTAATAATCATGTCATCCACATATAAGGACAGAAGAATCCGTCCTGCACTCGAGCATCTAACAAACAGAGCAGAATCGTGATTACTCTAGACAATTCCAAGAGAGGTAATCACTGTGGAGAATTTCTCAAACCAAGCACGAGGGGCTTGCTTGAGCCCATACAAAGCTTTGCGAAGCCGACAAACCTCGCCCGGTCGGTGCTGAGTTCCTGGAGGAGGGGTCATATAAACCTCTTCATGAAGGTCACCATTCAAAGGCATTCTTGACATCCATTTGAAAGATCTTCCACTGTCGAACGGATGCAACTGCAATCATAGTACGAACTGTCGTCATCTTTGCAACTGGGGCAAATGTCTCCTCGTAGTCAAAACCATACTGTTGGGAATACCCTTTTGCTACAAGTCTAGCCATATATCGTTCAACAGAGCCATCAGCTTTTGTTTTTATCTTGTACACCCAACGACAACCTATCGTATGTTTCCCAGGAGGAAGAGAAACCAAATCCCATGTATGAGTCTGATGAAGAGCAGTGAGTTCTTCAGCCATAGCATTCTGCCAAAGAGGATCTGAAACAGCTTCTCTATATGATTCAGGTTCAGAGAGATGATGGATGCTTGCTATAAATGAAGCAAACGGTCCTGAATATGTAGAGTAAGAAAAATCTGGTAGCTTGGTGGACTTGACAGGACGAGAAGATCTCCTGAGGGGTGGTGGTGGAGGAGGATCCTCAACTTCAATAATCGGAGGATTAGGATCAGGAACAGGTGGAGTCGAGGCACCCTCTGAAGAAGTGGGTGTGTCATGTGCTGAGGGATCATGTGGCATAGATGAGTCTTGAGCCTCTATATCTTCATTAAAAGGATCAATACGCAGAAGATCAGACTTTGTTACATTGTGGGCTGTAGCAGGAATCGAGTAGAAAGGAATATGTTCCAAAAAAGTAACGTGCCGAGAAACATATAACTTCTGACTCACAGGATCATAGCAACGGTATCCTTTCTGACCAATCCCATACCCCAAAAATACACAAATAGCAGATTTCGGCCCCAGCTTGTTCCTTTCAACATGAGGACGAAGAACAAAAAAAGTACATCCAAAAACTCGTAAGGAAGAGTAGTCTGGTGGATGACCATATAACTTCTCAAAAGGAGATATTCCTAAATTCAATGAAGTAGGGATACGATTAATAACATACACAACAGTTAGGACTGCTTCTCCCCAAAAGACACTAGGAACCTGCGCAGACAGGAGCAATGAGCGGACAGTCTCAACAATATGACGATGTTTTCGTTCTGCCACACCGTTTTGCTGAGGTGTGTCAGTACACGAAGACTGGTGTATGGTACCATCAGAAGAAAGTAACTGAGTGAAATCATTAGAGGTATATTCACCCCCTAAGTCACACCTGAAGCACTTAATCACAGCCGAATGTTGAGTTTTAACAAGAGCTCTAAAATTGATGTAAATACCAAAGAAATCAGATCTGCGTTTCATAAGATAAACCCATGTATATCGAGTATAATCATCTATAAAAGATACATAATAGGTTGACCCACCCTTTGTGGATACTGGTGCAGGACCCCACACATCAGAATGAATAATATCAAAAGGAGCAGTAGAACAAGACATACTTTTATTGAAGGGTAAAGCAGAAAATTTTGCTAGTTTGCAACCACTACAATCAGAAATATCACAAGAGTTTAAATGACCCAAAACACCACTAGATACTAAGAAATTCAACCGTGATACAGACACATGTCCCAAACGAGAATGCCAAAGATAAAACTCAGACGACAAAGGACTCAAACGAAAAGAAGATAAATCAATGCTGGAAACAGCAACAGCAGATACTTTGAGGACCTCCAAGACATATAGTTCCCCCACCCTATGGCGGATCCCAATCACCTTCTGGGTGTGTTGATCCTGTATAACACAGACAGAATCAGAAAAGAACACCCAGTTACCAGACTTGCATAACTGACTGACTGAGGCAAGGTTCAAAGTAAGTTTGGGAATGTAATAAACATCAGGAAGAGTGATATGAGAAACAGAGACAGACCTAACACCCTCAACTAGCATAGATGTATCACTAGCAGACTTAACAGAAATAGATGACACTTGCGGCAAAGAAGTAAATGATGACAAATGAGGAGTCATATGATGGGTTGCACCAGAATCTAAAATCCACAAAGATGAGGGAATACCTGAAGTGTCAGATGAAGAAGGACCAGAGTGAGACATAGATGCAGACATGGCAGTGGGATTAGAAGCGAAATACTGTCTAAAGCTCTCAAACACCTTGGGATCCAATGCAGATGCTGGCATATGTCCAACAGATTCTGTGTCAACTGGTGGAACAGCAGCAGCAGCAAACTGTGGAGGAAGAGGGGTCCATGGAGGAGTACCAGAGGAACGTGACTGATACTTCTGTTGACCAGACCTATTTTGTTGTCCTGACTGAGGTTGACCAGATTTACCCTTGCTGACTAATAATGGACACTGAGCTTTCCAATGATTCTTCTGTTTGCAGAATGTACACTCATCATAAGCGACTCTTGAAGTTTGTCGAGATTGGCTGGAGGAGACAGCAAGCACAGCATGAGCGGGAGTAGGAGTAGAGGTTGCTTTAAACCCTTTATCTGCATGGGACTTGATACGAGTCTCTTCTGCAATTAACTCATGGACAACTGAATCAACCGAAGGAAGAGGAGATCGATGAAGAATTGTTCCACGAAGACCTTCAAAATCAGAACGCAAGGCCATCAAGAACTGAACCAAGCGTTGTTCTTCCCTCCTAGCACTGTAAGGCTCAAAATCTTTTAACTCTTTAGATTCAGTAAGAGCCAATTGATCCCAGAGATCAGACATAGCAGCATAGAAATCTTGAATGCTCTGGTCATTCTGTTGAAGGGCACGAATATCATATTCCAATTGGTATTGTTTAGCAAAATTGGACTGAGTATACAGTCTCTCCAAGTGATTCCAAACTTCCTTTGCTGTATCATACTTAGCCAACTGCATACCAATGGACTGAGTAACAGAGTTATTGATCCAAGTAATAACCTTGGAGTTATCAGTCTCCCAAGCATTAAGCAACATATCATAATTCTCAGTTTGAGGCACTGAGGGTTTGGCTTTAGTCCCAGTTACATAGCCCCACATATTCTTCCCACGAAGGAAGTTCTTCATAACGTAACTCCAATACGTATAATTCTTTCCATCCAAACGAGTACTGATTGACTGAAGGGAATCATCCTTTCCAGTCATGTTGATAGTGAATGAATAACCACAATGACAATATAATAATCTGAGAGTGAAAGGAGTAACAAACCAGCGGAAGCAATCACTTGAATAACGAATCAACAGCAATTATGAACCAACAGCAGCAATGAACCAACAGTAGCAACGAACCGACAGTAGCAACGAACCGGCATCAGCAACGAACCGACAGCAGCAACGAATCAACAGTAGCAACGAATCAACACATCAAAAAAACGAATACCAGTTATAATGAACGAAAACGGCATGCGACAGCAGCAACGAATCAACCCTAGAAAGACTTCTAACAACGTATCAAACCTCTGCTCTGATACCATGATAACATTGTCATATGATTATATCAAAGAGAAATTACAAGGGTTCTCAGAGAAAAGCATAAAGACTACAAGGAATAAAGCGGATATAAATGCTAGCTAGACAGAAACCCTAATGGGCTAAAGACAAAAAGGGCCCATAAACAAGCGGGCTAATAATATAGACTAACAGCACTGACAATAACAGGTGCGGAAAATATAACCTGTAAAAAAAATATAGCAAGATATGATTGAAACATTGGTACAACTCTCTACACACTTTTAAGTGTCCATATAGTTATTTTTATATCCAGAACCTTATGTGTTGTTTACAAAACAAAAAGGAGGGTAATTGTTTTTACTTTTACCTTATCAAAACCCATTGCCACAAGCTTTTGGATCTCTTCATCCGATACAACACTTATTGCTGCTGTGGCATCTGTATTTATCCCTCCCTTCCTAAAATACAAACTAACTTTTAAAATACAAACCTAATGTGCCTTACTTTTTTCATTTACCAACTTCCTTCCATTTCTTTTCTCGTAATAGCAACGTACTAATAGTTCTTTATACATTAAATAAATAGCAATATCAATTTTTTACATCACACAATGTAATAACTAATAATACCTTCTATCATTTCTTGCAATTGCTTCCTGAGTTGAAGGATGAACAGGGCTATTTCCACTTTCCAAGAGTCTTGTTTGTAGGGTTGAGTCAGGAGAAGCATTGTTGGAGACTGTTTCTGTTTAGGTTGCACTTAATGTCCTTCCACATCCAGGAAAACTACTATTTTCTTCTGTTGACTGGATAATTTTAAAAATAATAAATAAATAAAATTAGGAGATTAAAGATGCAACATTGCTACAATACTCAGATTTGACTGCTTACCTGAGGAGCCACCTCTCTCCTTGGCATCCATGAAGAAAAGTTTTCCCACATATTCCTAGAAAGCGTATCACTGGAAATTTTATAAATATATAAATATCAGAAATCAGATAGAAAACTGAGAATATAATAAATAAGGGGAAAAAAGATAGGGGATAAACTACCTGGATGATGTGTTACGAGTACTATGTGCTTTAGCGTAACAGTTTAATAAATTATTTCAAATATGAATATGTTGATGAGGTATGAGCCTTGTTCTACTAAATCCTACATATATCTCACATGCAAACAGTTGTCATTTTTCAAAGTGTCTTGACTTTAAGTTCTTTGCTTTATCATGTCTATCTTTATGTAAGTTATTTGACCTCATGAAAGATTTAATCTAATATGAGTATATGAAATAAAAAGTAGCCTCAAGTTTTCTTTCAGTATGGATTTAAAGTTTCCCTCAGCAGTCAATAGCAAATCTATTTTGAATTGGCATGTTCATAGTAAGTTAGTGACCAATATTCAAGGATCATTAATATTCCATTGTGTGCTTAAGTAGTTTTTTGTTGGAATCATATATTATTGAAGAGCAAAATTCTTGTATATCAAAGTCAGTGGGACGAATTGTCAGACAACAGTAAACTCCTCCTTGAAGGACCCCAAAGCTTAATATATCCTCTAACCATGCACGTATTTAGTATTAGAACTGACAATAAGGATATAAACATAACTATCTGGACACTTAAAAGTGTTTAGAGAGTTGTACCAATGTTTCAATCATATCTTGCTATATATTTTTTACAGGTTATATTTTTTGAACCTGTTATTGTCAGTGCTTGTGAGGAAACCCCTGGGGCCTGCCTTGACTTTTTCCTGTTGACCTTCCTCCTCCTTGTTGGTTCACCATGTTCATCAACCTCTTCCTCATCAACAATGAAGTCAACCATTTCATCTTCTTCCTCACCAATGTCACCATCCTCTTCCTCTTCATCTGATCCTCTTCAGCAATGTCCTCAAGGGGTGGACATAAAAGTTATGGGCAAAATGCTAATCATGATTATACACGATAATGATTACTAAAATGTGTTTTAAGAAAATCAAGAAAATACCCTCATCATCCCCGAATAAACTATGCTCGATTTTCTGCTCTACACTTTGCCCGCTCTTTCCACTTCTATTATAATCATCCTCATCAGAAAATCCTGATTGCCCTTCATTAGCATCAAACCTTGCTTTCTATAGTTGCTTAAACTTTTTACTCTCCTGAAAGATTCATATGGAAAGTTTTTAAAAAGTAAATTGAATGAAAGATAATTGCTGAAGAACCATCTGAATGTAGAGCAAGAGACTCACGACTTTTGGACGTCGAAATCTAGTGATGTTGTTATCTTGAAGAAGCTCATAATCATCTTCATCAAGAACATAGTTCTTCTCCGATTCCCTTGAGATTCATGCAGCATAAATTAGAAAGGCAACCGTGCATTCACAACAAAAGGTAAGCTTGTCAAATTGATTTTTCACAACAAAAGGTAAGCTTGTCAAATTGATTTTACCTTTTCTTTCTTTTCTTCTTCTTTTGCATCTCATCATCACTATCCACCCTGTCTTCTTCCTCTGTATCCTGTTCGTCTTCATCAATATCATCCACTATAAAACCATCTTTCTCATACTCATCTTCTCCTTCCTCTAATCAAGGCCATAAGCAAAAGCACGTTAGATGATCAATCATAAACTCAAAAACGACAAAATGAATTGATTAGCATAAGTGTAAAGGATATAGAAGTTTCAATTGTTCTGAAATTAAGTGGGCAACAAATTTCAGAAACACATAGGACATCAATTGTAATTTTTCTTGTTCATTGGGGGAATTTATCAAATAGGTGGTGTTCATAAAAAAAAACCACTCCGTCAACATTAATTCATCCTTCCAACAAATCAAGATTCATCAAAAACATAAAAAGCAAATAATTTAGTAAGATAAAAGGGACAAGGAAAAAGTAAAAATAAAAGCCAGTCTTTCTATATATATATGTCGAATATCATATTAATAGATAATTGTTTTGAAGTGTTATTGCTTTTTTTGTTAATGAAAGCGAGTCTTTGCTGCCCAAAATACCTTATTGATAAATTTAAGAAGAAAAAATTATCCCCTAAACAAAACTCTCGACCAAAATCTCAGCAGGGAAAGGGTCTATGTTATGCATAACATAGGCTGATAAGCACCAATGATGCTTAGGTCCCTAGCATCCCATCTTTTCTCATGACTAAATTTGTGACAACATTTGTATTATCTATGATGCAACAAAGCCTATTATAGTCCTTCCCCAACTTGTTCGATCAGTTCTACTACACAAACTGTTTTTGTTGGGTTATATTCATGTTGGTATACAGGGATCTGCTAGAGGAAGGGTTATAGTCAAGTATTTGTTTAAAGACTCAAAATTCTTGTTTAAAGACTCAAAATTCTCTACAGTACAATGCACTCATCTCAGTTGTCAACATGTGTAAGTGATTCTCTAATTGAACACATGCGATCATTATCAAACCTAGGGCTTATTGAGACAGCTAATAACACCATAGATGACACCAACCTCTTTCTATGATCGATCATTAGGGTAATAATCAAGGTTCCCTAATTAAAAAACCAGAAAAAACATATTAGTTTGTAGGATAAGGAAAAGAAAGAAACCCAAAGATCATCGTACGAGTGTTATTCGCTAACCTAGACTCCACCGACCAGTTGGCCTAAATTGCGACAACGACATTTGTCCCTAGCCAAAACAAAAATCGTATTTTTTAATTTACGTATGAAGGAAGGAAAAGGCGATTCATCCCATTGAGGCGGAAAAGGGGGAAGCAGGTGTAAGATGTGTTCCATGAAAGCATCATCCTCTCAGGTATGATGGAGGAACGTTAGCTGTCCCGGACCTCTGTCCCTAGCATACAATGAGAAGATGCGAGACCATCGACTGTGTTTGGAGCAAATGGGATTAGTCAATAATAGAAAGAAAAATAAAGATATAAGTGAAACATAAGGCGGTGATATGTAGCCGCAAGATGAAGCAAGATGTGGGCAGAAAGCGGAACGGGGTGGAAAAGAGAGAGTGACTGACCTTTAGGCAGCTAATTGAGGTGGTGATGCAGTATAAGTTAAAAGAATGGGCGGCCAGAGCAAACCCACCTAGTCACGGATTAACACACCAGGTCAAGAAATCCCGTTTGTTCGCTTTTCTTCTTCTTCTTCTTCTTCTTCTATCTTCTATTTTCACTCTTCCGATCACTCTTGACAAATTCACGGTTGTTTAGCTACAAACAAGAATCGCGTCGATGCTTGTTCAGAAAACATTAAGAAACAAACAAACGAACAAACCCTAGAGAAATGGAAATGAAAAGGGGGGAAATCGAATAACAGGATTAAAGAATTTGTTGAGACAAACGTGAAACAAGAAATGTGGGGAGCAGAAAACCTTAAAGAAAAGGGGGTGAACGAATTAATTGGAGATCGATTAACATCTAGAAAAATATCATTAGCTAATAAAACCACCGAAGCCTTGTTATATGATAAACTTGGAATGATTGCAACAGAAGAGGGTAGTGATGCATAAAACAAAATCCCCAAATTTAATAGGAAATATGCATCCAATAGGACGAATAAACAGTTTGAGAGTAGAAATGTATATTCGGTAAAACTCATAACCAACATTGTAGTGAACTATCGATCTAAATAAAAAGGAAGAGAATGTTGCTTAATTTTTGACCGATAACTATAAAGAAGAAGAAGACGAAGGCCCTAAGGCTTTTTCTTGCTAATTGGAAGGGGGGGGGGGGGGTGGTTTAATTTTTGGGATTCAATAGGCGGGTGAAATCCCGCCTTAAAAACGTGTGTTTCATTAAAATGTTATAAAGCGACATATTTAGACGACGCACATTTTATGAAAGGCGCCCTCCGCATTTCCTTTTTTTTCTTTTCTGACACTAATTTTAGGGCACGCACAAATGCGTGTCCTCTATCCTTTAAATTTTGCAAAATTGACATTATTTTTTAGGGCACGCACAAATGCGCGCCCTCTATCAGCGAGTGTCATTGTTTGCGCGTCATTAAAGGGCTGTTTTCTAGTAGTGACTACGAGTATTAGATGTAGAAAACTTTTACAATACCACCAAGGGTGAAATTTTACACCTGGAACGAGTGAAAAGAAACAACCAAGTATTGGAATAATTGGTACAAACTCACAAAGAAAATGTTGCAGAGAACGTTGACTACAACTTGATGTATTGACTATATCTCGAGTTATGATGTTTTGGATATATTAGAATCGAGATATCTTGGAAACTAGACAAAATTTCTAACAACTTTCATGTTTCACGTTTTTATTGAGTCTGATTTATTCTCCTAAAAAAATGCTAACAAAAGACGAACGGTAGGCGTATATGTCCTTCTTTTGAACTTGGATGGTTCAATTAAGTCGGACAGTTCACAACAAAACGAAACGGACTAAGTAAATACTTAAGCTGAATTCGAAACAATTCGCAAAGGTGCGTATATTTTGTACGGTATTCCTATGAGGTCTAACAGATGCATTCGTAGAATATCATAGCTGAGTACTTAGTATTCCGAGATAAACTTCGAACATGATTTATGTTTCTGATACTTATAGTTTCATGAGAATTTGTAGTAAATATTCGCTAAGTATTCGTCAATGTTCACTTAAAATTTCGAGAATTCTTAAGCGTTTTTGAACTGTGATTTTCTTTAACTATTATGGATTCCAAGCGTTTTAGTCTATCAACAACCGAATCCAAGTGTGATTGTTCATCGGTCTAACCATAATTAAACATAGGTGATCAGTCCACGTCTAGTTATGGTTCGGCCCACATACAATCAACTTAGCTAAGGTGTTTGACCTAAAAACTTGCTTTGTATTATTATTTGATGGTTCAAGTTTATATAACTCTATATTGATGGGGTTAAGGAATATACCTAACCTAAAAGAGTAAGCCCTAGGCTATAGTCGTGCTTTCCTAAAAAAAGTACTAGTTCGCTATAGCCAATAGCTCTGATACCAATCTGTCACACCCTTGACCGACGGCGGAAACTCCGAGGTGCGCGACGTAAACCAGTAATCACAGTTATTGAACATACATTGAACAGTACAAATATAGTCTTTTATTATTACCGAAAAGAAATTACATTGACAAGACTATTGCTGAAATACTACACACGCCTAACGATCTAGCGTTCACAATTGTATGATAAGAATATCGGAGGATCTTCTGTACAATTTGTCTATAACCGACACTATACGTCAATGTAACCGACACTATACGTCGCTCCTCCACAAGCCACACTGGCGCAATATAAATAACAATGGATTAACGGTTATAGAGTGGGTTTCGATCTAAGATTTTGTCCTTATGAAAGAAATTACGCCCACACAAAACTCTCCCTTTTACCCCCTTTCAATACATTGGGTTTCGATCTAGGATTTTGTCCTTATGAAAGAAATTACTCCCACACAAAACTCTCCCTTTTATCCCCTTTAAATACATTGGGTTTCAATATAGGATTTTGTCCTTATGAAAGAAATTACGCCCACACAAAAGTCTCCATTTTACCCCCTTTCAATACATTGGGTTTCGATCTAGGATTTTGTCCTTATGAAAGAAATTACGCCCACACAAAACTCTCCCTTTTACCCCCTTTCGATATATTCCTCCCACAAACACACACGGGATACACAATCTACAAAATCCTTGACAACAATTCTTCGACTCACAAATTCTCCATTCACTAGGGTCACTAACGCGAATCTCAGATTATTAAGATTTTCAAAGCTTATTTAAATTAGTTAAATAGTGAATTTAGCGTAGCATTCGACTATTGTGGCGATAATAATTTGAATAGTTCCTTACTTCAGCAGATAAGGAGGATGTTCGTTTGCGTAGCCGAATACGCATTTATGCAAATATTCGAGAAATTGCATAATTGATTTGCCGTATTATTTATTAGGTCATAATCCCTAGAGATTTGAGAATCAGTTATATTATTGTATGTGATGCATTTAGTATCACAACTAAAGTGATTTATATTTTTATAATACTTATAAAATAAATTATATCATTTACTTAGAAATCATTCCCACGTAATAATCAAAAGGATAATCATAATAATTGATTTTTAGTATATTTTCAATTAATTATTATATATTTGTCAAATCTTCGTTTATAGTCGTTTAAGACAATGTACATTTCCTTTGTACACAATTATATCAAATAACACATTTTGTTATGTATATAGTGTCTTTTTACGCTTTCTCAATATTTTCATGTACATATATATACGAGCATTACAGTTTATGATTCGTCGAATAACTTATATCTTTATGTCAATCTACTTATAATCCAGTGATTTCTTTTTATTAATATTAATTAATATATCACAACAAGGTATAATTATATCATTTATGGCATTCTACTATAACTTATATAATTTATTAATGCTTTATACCTTTTAGATTGTTAATTTCATAACTCTTAACCAATAATAAAGTATGATGTCATTTTATGTATAAGACTTGAAAATCATCAAACTTTAAATAGACACTGATGTATTCTCCCCTAAATATTAAAACAGTAAAAGAGGGGCCGTAGAAACTCACATTCGATGCGTGATCTCGATCTAGGCTCAGTTCGTGAAGCTTGTCGTGAGAAACCGTATTTTACACCTTCTTGAATTTGGAATAAACTATTAGGACTATTTTGGTTAAAGTAAAAAGAGAACCGGGTTTGATTTGTAGCTTAATTAACCAAAAAATGATAGTTTCGGTTAATCAAAACAAATGAGAGAGGGATTTAGTGTATTTTTGCAACTGTAGGGCTGTTTTGGGAAATAATTTAACAAATGGGGTTGCTTAGTAAATTCATTAATCACAAGTGACCAGATTTGATAAATATTTGTAAATGGGATTTATTTTGATATCACTTAGCATTTGTAGGGGCTGATGTGGTTATTTATCATAATAAAAGGACTTTAGGGCTTTTGTGCCCTCATATTTTGCACCGATCGGTCACAAGGAAGAACAAATATAAGGAGGAAGCGCAAACTGTGAAAATAGTTCAGATTTGATTTGGTCTATATGCACGTTTTATTTGTTCTTTTAGCTGTTAGTTGATGTGAATAAGTCAAGGCCATGTGGCTTAGTGTCCCTGGTTTTAAGCTAGAATCAGTTGCTATTTTTATGCTAAGTTTTTCATTTAAATAGTCAAAGTAGTGTACGAGGTGTTTGTACCCTCTTTTGTTTTCCCAGTTTATGAATAAAGCAAAGTGCATCTTTCTGCCCCTGTGTATTGTTCTTGTCCTTATTATCTTTATCTGTTCCCTGTTGAGGTCAATAATTCCCCTATATTCCAGATTTACCCTTTCCTGTTAAAAGCAGTTTTTTGTCCCCTGTTGTGTTACTTTCTACATAAAGACACTAATACCCCTGTGAAAAGCCAACATTTGGTATCAGAGCATAACCCGGTGTATGCCAAAGTACCAACCACGTAAAGAGATGATAGGGAACAATGGAAATGGTGAGAAAGATGGTATGGTCACTCTTCATTACCCGATGTTGTCAAGAAGTAACTACTCTGCATTGGCCATAAAAATGAGGGTCTTCATGTAAGCCCAAGGAGTGTGTGGGATGCAGTAGAACCAAGAACAACAAACACTGTGGTAGAGGTGAAGAAAAGATAAGATGGCCTTGGCAGCCATCTACCAAGGCATACCGGAAGATCTATTGCTTTCATTGGCTGAGAAGAAAACAACCAAAGAAGCATGGGAAGCCTTGAAGACCATGTTCTTGGGAGCAGATAAAGTGAAGACAGCAAGGATTC